ACACACACATTGTACGTTATATATATATATAGACATATGTGTGCATGGTTTGGTGATGGGACAAGTGCACAAAATGGAGATGGTGACAAGACGATCAACCTCAACATATATATATATAAGGACGCAAATGGTGATGGTGATGGGACAAATATATATATATACATATATGCATGGCTCAAAAGATGGAAATGGTATGCACGGCTCAAAAGACATATATATATATATACACACACACACATGTGACTCACCAAGTAAAAGGAGCATGAAGGAATTGCAAAGGGCAAAGCACATTATATTACATATGTATGCACGGTGATAAAGCAAACTGCAACGGTAATAAAGCAAACTGCAATAGCGATAAAGCAAACTACAACAGCAGCCTTCCGTATATATATATATATATATATATATATATATATATATATATATACACACACACATATATATACTCAAGTGACACACCAAGTAAAAGCAGCAGCGCATGATTGCTGGACAATGGTGCAGTGGTGATGCAAGGCAACAAGCAACGCATTGGCTGAAGCTGTGTAATGAATGTACAAGCAAATGAGCAATCCCATATATATATATATATATATATATATATATATATATATATATATATAAAGGTCCCAGGAGAAGCAAATGAAATGTGGTGGCTATTCAAAACGCAGGTCCGTGATTGTGCAAACTGTGCAAATGACCACCCGTGCCTGGAAAAGAAAAACCAAAATGAGAGGTGATATGATGGTGCATTGGGAAAATATGATTGTGTACAAAAAAGAAAGTGCCAAGTGCATTGGGAAAATATGATCGTGTGGGAAAATATGATTGTGTACAAAAAAGAAAGTGCCAAGTGCATTGGGAAAATATGATTGTGTACAAAAAAAGAAAGTGCCAAGTGCATTGGGAAAATATGATTGTGTACAAAAAAGAAAGTGCCAAGTGCATTGGGAAAATATGATCGTGTGGGAATATATGATTGCGTACAAAAAAGAAAGTGCCAAGTGCATTGGGAAAATATGATTGTGTACAAAAAAGAAAGTGCCAATATGTTTGTGTACAAAAAAAGAAAGTGCCAAGTGCATTGGGAAAATACGATTGTGTACAAAAAAGAAAGTGCCAAAAAAAAAAAAGGTGAAAGAATAGTGCATTAGTCACCATCTAAAAGGAAATGGATGTGTCAAGCACCATCTAAAAAAAAATAAAAAAAATAAAAGAAAAAAAAATAAAAAAGAAGAAAAAGAAGGAAGTAACGCATTTTAGTCAGATATACATTTTATTTGTATTTAGCACAACATACTGAATAAAATAAAGCATGTCCATTGATATCTCTAAAAAGATTACAAGTGTGTAAAAAAAAAAAGAAAGTCAAATCAAATTTACAGGAAGGGATCTTCAAGGATGATCAGGTGGCGCCTCATCACTCGGCGGAGCTCCAGAAAGACGAAGCACCAGAGATTGATTATCCGGAGCTTCAACACTTGGTGAAGCGCCAGAGGACGAAGGCAGAAGTTGCCGCTGGAGTAACGCCACAAACCTCTGATGATCACTCTGAATCCGAACTTCGGACTCCTGCAGCTGGTCAAGCTTCCTCTTCATACTTGTTGAGTAATTAGTTGCGAGCATGTGCAACTCTTTATTCTCGTGCCTAAGCACCCTGACCTCTTGCCGAAGACTGGCCACCTCAGCCATCAACGACTCAACCTGACGAGATCGAGCAAGAAGGCGTTGGCCCATGTTTGAAACTGAACCTGCACATCGGACGTTGTAGGCTAGAGAGTCCTGAACAACCAGCTCGTCGGACCGCCTGGAAAGTATCATAGTGTCTCTAGGAGTGAGAAGATTTCTGGCCACCACCAAAGCGGTTGTATCGTTCATCATCATAGAATCCCCAACTGTAAGAGGACCATTGGGAGATACGAAGGACGGCTGCCAAATGTTGTTTGAAGAAGATATGTCACTATCTTCCCCGACATTCAAGTTAAGACGACGGTCAGAAGGGCAAGACATTTTCGAAGGTGTGAAGAAAAAGAAGAGGTCGGACAAATCAAGTTTTTAGAAGTGTAAGTAGGGAGCTTCTACAGGCGGAAAATTCAAGTGTGCTTTGGAATGTGATCCGTGCCTCTCTTTTAAAATCAGCACTCAACGGAGCTTCAGAAATCGAAGAGGCAAGCTCAGAGATCGAATAGACGTCTGTTTTCTCAAAAGCTGGGCTGTTCAGAAACCACGGGCCGATCTCAGATATCGAAAAGGCGCCAGTTTTTTTTTTCAGCCTCGTTAGCACCTATCACATGCACACTCAGCTTTGCGAAAATCACGGATAATTTGTCGAAGCGCCGATCTCAGATATCGAAGAGGCGCCAGTCTTTTTCAGCCTCGTCAGCACCTGTCACATGCACACTTAGTTTTGCGAAAATTATGGGCAATTTGTCGAAGATTTCTGATAAAGAAGAAAGCGCGTGGAGCCATACTGATCAATCACTCAATGGTTGCCAACACGAGTGAAAGAATAGTACATCTACAGGTATTAAAGAACTTCCTATAACTGTCCACCTACACCGTCCATAGCAAGGCAGACTTGCAAAAATGCCTAACCCTTCCTCATTTCCAAGAGTACACTCTCAGCAGAGCCTCTCGAAATACCCAGTTTTCTTCCTCTCTTGGAGTACCTCTGCAAACAAATGATACCAAAGCAAAAGTATCTCATATCACCAGGGTAGAAAGCAAGAGTATCTCATATCATGCTTTCTCCCTGTCCTTTCCTTTGCCCTTGTTCTTACCTGCAAAGACAAGGATAAAGAAAGCAATATGTCGGAACCTCCACTCAAACTCCGGGCAAGGAACCGACTACCGGGAACCTTTGCCTGGTTGCTTACCTGGCTTTACTCTTGAGTACTCGTCTTCAGTTGCTGATGTACTTCCGAAGAAGATGCCATATTTGCCCGGAGAACAGATAAGGCAAGTGAAAATGATACCTTGAAGCATGTGGAGACAACGTGCTGATTTCCTTCAAGATCAAGTCTCCCCTTCCTTGCACAATCAACCAACCCAGCAGAAGGAGTCTAAGTTGAATCCAAGAGCTCGAGAAGTTTCAACAAACATATTGGCGGCACCATCATCGAAGAACAAAGCCTCGCTGTGCAACGCTGTCAAATCGCCACCATTTCTTCGAAAGCAATAGTATTTCATATCATGCTTTCTCCCTATTCTTTTCTTTGTCCTTGTTTTTACCTGTGGGACAAGGAGAAAGAAAGCAATCAGACAGCACTTGGTATCAAACTTCCGATCTGGAACCAACTGCTTGGAACCCTTCCCTGATTGCTTACCTAGCACTGCTCTTGAAGTACCCATTGTTTCAACATCATATGCTTCTAAAGAAAATACCACATCTGCTTGAAGAACAGATAAGGCAAGGGAAAATGATACATTGAAGCATGTAGAGACAAGCACAACAAAACACGAGTCGATTCATCCGTTACTTCTTCAAAATCAAAAGTATCTCATATCATTAGGGTTGCAATCACTCTGGGTTTGGTGGACCTGTTTCGACCCTCAAATTCTTGGGTCAACCCGTTAGACGTTGTGAGCTACACGTGCCGATTTACCACCCTTGAATCAAATCCTTAAAGATTAAGTCACCAACTGGAAGAAGCGCCCATCACTCTTGAAGATCATACCGTTGACCAAACTGCTCAGGGTTCATATGAAAATGCTGCGAACTTCCTTGATCTTTCAAAGCAGGCATGTCCTGAAACTGCTCGTGGTCATGTTTAAGTTTGAGATCAAGCCTTGACAGCCTTTAAAGAAATTACAAGTCCGATTCAAGATCAAGTGTCCATCACCCTTGAATCAAATCCAACTCAAGATTAAGTCTGTGGAAAGTCCCTTGGAGGAAACCAGAAAATCCTCTAACCCAGTTCAAGAATAAGCCTGTGGAAAGTCAACAATTGGAGGAAACCAGAAAATCCTCCGAACCAGTTCAAGATCAAAGCTGTGGAAAGTCAATAAGCGCAACAAAATACGTGCCGATTCACCCATTACCAAAGCAAAAGATCATCTACCACATGAAGCTCATTGTGGTCCAATTTCAACCTTCAAGATCAAGCCTCAACGGTCTTTGAAGAAATTTCAAACAAAGTTCAAGATCAAGCCCCAACGGCCCTTGAAGAAATCACCAACCCAGTTCAAGATCAAGCCTCAACGGCCCTTGGATCAACATCTGCAGTAAGGGACTTCAAAACGCATCTTCTACACGTGACAAGCACATGTATACGACGCGCCTTGAAGTGGGGGCATTTGTAGACATCGAAATTTTGGTAAAATAAATGTTGATCAATAATTAAAATTTCAATGTTTATGTGTCACATAAATTTTACACATAGCCTGTGACTAAACGAAAAATCAAAATAAATCGGAAAAGTCATCAAACAGGACACGTGTCAACACCTGGCAGAAATGATTTATATCATCTAATTATTTAAATCCAAAAAATCAAGTTTTGGAATTCTATAAATAGGAGGCCAAGGCATTCATTTTGGGACACCAATTCATAACCAATTCACCTCATACCACAACCTTGAAGCTTTGAAACTCAAAAGCTCCCAAGCAAATCCCGAAGGATCAAGAGAGCTCTCTTCGTTCTTCGTCAAATCCTCATTCAAAATCAAGCCCCAACGGCCCTTGAAGAACTTCCGCTGATTCAAGATCAAGCCCCGACGGCCCTTTGGATCCACGACGTCAACAAATCTGCACAACTGTTTATCCCAAGATCAAGCCCCGACGGCCCTTTGGACCAACAACATCAAATCCACCCATTGCAAAGATAGAATCAGAGGCTAAATTTGTAAAAAAGATTGTAACCCCTAAATCATCAATACAAATATTATTTTGTACATGTGTTTCTTGTCTCGTTCATCGCAGGAATTTCCGTGTTTACACTAATATAAGCGTATACAAACATAATTATATTTTACAAAAATATTTTCAAACGAGTTCTTTATGGTAAGTCATTCAAGAGAACGTCATTTAAACCACCACTCACAATGCATGTACCAATGCAAGCATGGGAATACTAAAGAGCAAAGCGGAATTCATTTCCTAGCATGTGCTTACCAAGGCGAACCAATGAGTATCGTTGCAATAAACACAAGGCCGCCTATTCATATGACCCATGCATCATCGACCTACGTACCCACACCAGACACAATGTTATTTACCCTCCCAAATAATCTCTTGCTATACCAATTACTACAAAGAGAAACACCTAAGCTTGAGCTAAGCTCTACAGCTGAGAAGCAACACCGTGCTCCACCGCCCGTTACCAATCGAAATGGATCCCGCCGTCTGGGGCAACTTGAACCACTTATTTCAGGGTGAGGATGCCTGGGCCAAGATGGTCCGGTTGGGCACCAGGATCGTAAAACACGCAACTGAGGAGGGCCGTAATTGTATTCCAGGTTTTACTTCCTCATCGCACTCTTCGTATCTATATATTTGTTACACCAGCATCAGTATAGTAATGCATGAATACGGAATTTGTTACTCTAGTCTGTAGTCGCGGTTGCTTTTCTACTGATTTTGCAAGTGGACGTGTAGGTTACAAAATTGTTGCGAGATCACTCGGCGACCTAAACGGATCTGATGAAACAGAAGTGGACGTGAAGGCACTGCGGGCGGATGTACGCCGGTTGGAGAAAGAGTTCAACGAATACAAGAAGGAAGTAGATGAGCTACAAGTGGAAGTGAAGGCATTGGCTGCTGATCAACTCAGATTGGAGAAACAACTCTGCGAGTGTAGGATAAATAAGGCAAGTGCGGATTTAAATATCAGGTCTTGCTTGCTCTATGTAATTGGTTTTTCTCTCTGCTTCTGCATCTCTTTTGCTTGGGGTGCCTAGACTTCGAGATTTGATCATATGTGCTGATGTAGTAGTTTAAGTTGTATTTTGTATTGTTTAATCCCTTGGCATTTTCCATGTTTGTAAATTGATGGAACGATGAACCTGCCAAATTCTGTTAAACTTTGAGATTGGCTTTCATATTGTCTCAATGATTAGAATCTTCCTCTTCAACTCACTACATTTCGAGTTTAAACCTTTTCCTTTCCCCTAACGTAAATAAAGTAGTAATATCGCTTGTACTAAAATAAAAAGTCGCATTCCATCCATCCGAGAGAAACTTATGTAGCATTATCCCTGCCATGTGATAGTATTGACCGTAAAAAACAGTCTAGTTAAAAGAGTGCGTTGTGATGAAGTCTACTGAAATAGATTGGACCTGAATATTTCCCTCCAAATTGTCGACTTCGTTTGATTTTCTAAAATATATAGCAGTTAGCTTGTCTTTGTCAACACCTTCTACTCTTAGTTCTTCCTCTTCTCATTGTCAACACCTTCTACTCTTAGTTCTTCCTCTTCTCATTGCCCATATGCACACAAATTATTTTTTCACATCATTTCTACTCCTTGTACACTCTTCCTTTTTCAAACGGATGGAGGTTAGTATTTTAGTGTTCAGAAGGTAGAAAAAGGTACAAAATGTGGCAAGCAGCAGTTTTGCAAAGTAATTTCCTTGGACCTTGTCGCGCCAATTCATTTGTCCCAACCCTCTAATTTTTGCAACTTTACATCTTCTTACATGTATTACTTATTTATGGATGGCCATTTCCAGTATTGCCCCAATTGGACATCTTATGTCGGGATACGGGTCAAATAATAAATATTCCTTTTTAGGCAGTCTAGGAGTCCATTTATACATAATGGTAAAGAGGCCCCTCTATGACCTTGCGGCGCTTGATAAGCATTTCGTTTTTTGTTTTTCATTTGAATTGTTTGTGCTCGAGATAGAAGGATATGATCACATGAGTGGAAAATATGGAAGAAAAACAGTGAAGGGAGGGTAGTGGGAGAAATGTATGAAACAAAAACTTGAAAGTGAAACCAACTAAAGTTTGTTTCCAGTTTTTGGTTTTCATTTTTGTGTACCATTACATTAACATTTTGTTGAGAGTTGTCCCACATCGGTGAGGGACAAGGTTTGCTACGTGTTTATATGGTCTTGGGCTACTCTATATTGTCAATTGGTTTTATGGTGGAATCTCAATTTCATCACATTTCTTCCACGTCTCCTGCGTCATCCTTCCTCCATCCTTCTTCGTCCTTCCTCCACCTGTAAATATGTTGCTCAAACTTTATAAAGTCTGGGTTCCATGAGTTTCCAAAGTGTTGGTGTCATGCATTGATGCGGAGTTTGTTACAAGCCTAGCCGGCATTTGTTTTCTACCAACTTTTAGGTGGATTGTAGGTTACAAAATTCTTTCCAAATCACTTCGCGACGTTAAAGAGTCCGATAATCAAACTTCTCAAAAGGAGTCTGATAAATAAAAAGTGCATTTGAAGGCGGTACAGGCTGATCTAGACGGATTGAAGAAGGAATTCGTCCGAAACAAATCTTATGTGAGGGTGTTCGTGTCATATGGCAATGTTGAAAGGTTGTTATTGAGGTTAAAAAAAAAAAAAAAAAAAAGTGTTTCCTTAATTCAAGGAAACTGGGCATGTGAGTGGCAAACAAATCAATGATACAGATTATTTTAAGGAAATCTACACCATCCATTGTAAAATAAAAATAAGTTTTAATTTTATAATGGGAAATAGTTCCTCCATTTCCCTGGATGTTCAAAAGAAGTTGGTGAAAACTACCCACTTTCACCATACTTTTCACCCCACGTTGCCTGCAAACTCAAAGTTCTTCAAAGTCTATAAATAGGACGTAAAACACAGGGGAGAGGGATGGCAAAAGCATACAGAAGAGAGGAAAAAAACGCTGCAAGAATTGTGGGGCACAGAGAGAACAAACAGGAAGAGGAACAGAAGAATACAGAGGAGGGGTGGACGACAAAAAGAAAGGCAAGGACTCAAAAGGTATAAATTTTTTTTTTTGGGTTAATCTTTCCTTTGTATTTCGTTGATATTTCCTTCCTTTGTAGAAAAAGAAGCACTTTGCTTCTTCATCCTCTCCCATTCCACGAAGCAAAAATGGAGGTGGAGACTCTAAAAAAGCAACCCCAAATCCTTTCCCTAACTCTCACCCTCTTTCGGAGATCACCAAACACACAAAGTCAAATATCCCAGGGGAAGAAAAGGAACCCAACAGTGCTGGTCTACCATGCCCAACAATAATGTGGAGGTTCACCGACGGCGCACAGGAAAGAAGCCAACAAGGCAGCAACAACAATGAACATACTAGTAGCGGCCACAGCTGACCTCCCCAGGGACCAGATAACCGCAGCTTGAAAAGCTCCGATGCCTCCTCGCTCCTCCCGTAGCAGCGCCGCCAGCCGCAAGAAGCAGCAACCATCATTGCCGCTGTCAATTCCTACAACCGCAAAGGTCGCCGATAAAAGCCCAGCCACGAATAGTGGCAATGGCAAGCCGATTTCCCTAGAGTCCAGATCGCAGAGACGACCTACAACAACCGCTGCCGTCAACTCCGTGAATTTCTTGTGGGTGGTTTAAACCACCCCGTGAAGTTCCAACCAAGTCTAAGTGATCCGCTCCCCACTGCTCCGTTTTAGGAGTTCATTGGGAAATTTCGAATCAAGAACAGAGGAATACGACTTGAAGAATTTGGCGGTTGCTGTTGCTCCATTTTAGGAGCTCATTGGAAAACTTTGAATCAAGAGCAGAAGAATACGACTCAAAGAATTTGACGGTTGCTGGTGCTCCGTTTTAGGAGCTCATTGGGAAACTTCGAATCAAGAGCAGAGGAATACGACTCGAAGAATTTGGCGGTTGCTGCTTCTCCTTTTTAGGAGCTCATTGGGAAACGTCGAATCAAGAGCAGAGGAATACGACTTGAAGAATTTGGCATGTTGCTGCTGCTCCCTGCTTCAAAGAATTGACCAGAAATGAGGAAGAAGTCTTTCAAATGACTTGAATGTGGTCATCATTTTGATCAAATTTTGGGTCAAAAATATTAACCACAAGCATTGAAATAAAACTGACAGATGCTACAAGACAAAAGGAAAGAAATGAAATTTACCACATCTCTAAATAAATTGCTAAAAGATATTTGTTTCTCTGCCAACAACAATAAAATGACCATCGCCTCTGCCACCAACAACAGCTATGCAAGGATGCTGCTCGGAGGTATGCAGCAACTTTACTTGACTAAATGACAAATGCAGCAAGACTATGGGTTCGAGATGAACCTCACTTGTAGAAGAAAACTAGCAGGCGTTAATCTAATGTTCTCATGTACAAAATTAACATGGGATACAAGAGTTCCACCCAAAACCTTTTGTGCTAGGAATTCGAAAGATAAGAAAAAAATGGAGGTTGCAAAGTCTGCAAAGGAAAGCTACAGTAGAGAAGAAGAGAAGAATAGAAATAAATTTGTCTTCTAAACCATGCACGTGGTCACTTAAAAAAAAAGGGCAGTCGTCTTCCATGCAAATTCAAGATATATGGAAAGCTAAAATATGGTTTTCCTTTCCAAACACCACCACTTGAAGCCCTATTTGGGACTTAGAAAATTCGAAGCCTTCAAATAGAAGAAGAAAAAAGCTTGCTGCAAAACAAAATCTCTCTAAGTTAAGTGGGAATGCTGCCCACGTGGAGAACAAAGAAAAGCCATGGCTCCCCATCTAAATTCATATGGCTTTGCAAATGTAGAACCTATGAATTAGAGCCGAGGATGAGCAACAAATGGCAGGAGCCTAATGGCGTCATGGAGACATATTGAGTCCAAGCAATCCAAAATAAAGGATTATGGAGATAACATCGACGACACCAAATTCGTGGATGTAAATCACTTCAAATGCCGTGGACTCAAACCATCTCAAAGCACAAAGCTCGATGAATTTGCCACCTCAAATTAGTGGACTCATGCTACATTGAAATCCCAAAGACACGAAGCCACATCAAATCTCAAAATGGCACAAATTCGAGTCAAACTTCAAATGGTACGAAGCCGCGACAATACTCAAATGGCACAAAGCCACGTTATGCTCCAATGGCTCAAAGTCCTCGCCCGCACAAGCTAAAACTACACAAAGCATCAAACCCCAACCAATACATAAGGAACTACGAGTGACTTGATCCTTCAACAAGGGTTCGTAGGCAATCTAGGGCTCGACCTAGACGCAGTCGCAAAATCAAATAAACCCCAAAATCCCCAAGTTACGATTGATTTATATTGGAATAAAATGGTTTTTCCTTTTAACGAATGATTGTAATTAATAGACGCATAGTCTAAAATGGTTCGAACTCAAATTAATAAAACCCTCTTCAGAAAAATGAACGAGGGTGAAATTGTGTCGAGTGAATTATTTGTTTACATATTGTGCACAATTTTTGCTCAACAGTTGTACTGTACATAATTGTTCTTGCCTTTTTTTTCAAGAAAAGGCTTAGCATTAGATTGTAATTTTTAAAAACACTTGAACTTCAGACCATCTCCGAAGAAGATGTCAAATTTTAAACCTAAAATTTGAATTTGAAGGCTTACATTGCACTTTGGCATCTTTTAAACTTTTGTTCTCAAATTGATATGTCAAATTTTAAACATAAAATAATAATTCATATGTATTTTCTTTGCATTGGGAATGAAAAGAAACAAAAGGATAATGCTTTAAACCAATAAAAAATTAATAAAGAGCATTTAATAATTAATTAAAAAAATCTGAAGGTACTGTCAAATTTGGCAGCAAGGGGAAGAGATGTCAATCCATATCATGCCACATCAGATTTGGCTTCTCGGTTGGAAAACATTAATGCTATCTTTTGTTACCGTTATTGCTGATTTGGACAATTTGATATCTCATTTGGAGATGCTCTTATAAAGACCTTATCCAAGATTTATAGTGCCATTTTATCCGGTTCTTTTAAAAGCATTCTTTGCTTCCCTTAGCACCAAGACCAGCAGATACTTTGCTTCAGTAACTCTATGCTTTTCAGGTCTCTTATAAAAGGCTTAACCTTTCAAGGCAATCCTTCGCACACATAAGTTACTTTTAATTTGCACTGGTTTTCGGTTTCTTTTCACAGAGGACGCAACCATTACCGTATTTTAG